GGTCTCATTCCTAACGAGCTCAAGGCATGTTTCAAGACAAATTGAAGGCTAAAAATATATTATCCTGGGAAAGTTCATTTTTAAAAGTATCCCTGCACACTATTCATTTTTAGTTATCATGGCTTTCCACTCCTTACTTCATTTTTGTACACATCGAACATAAATCCCTCCAGCTGTTACGTCAGTGTAACTCTGCTCCGTGATTAAGATTCACACCCGCTCAGGTAAATGGTGAATGACAACACTCGTCAAAGGCTTTGTTAAATGCTTCTCAGTGGGACTACAAGCATTTTTAAAGCTCTGGTTCTGAAAAACTAAACTATAAGAAAGCTGTGGTGCTAGTAGAGCTTTAAACAAAGCTACTTTTTCCATTTTGTAGGCATTTCTAATTTCTGTGATTGGCCAGGTTTTATGGTGCCAGATGAGTTTTTAAATTGGATCAACACAGGTCTTAAAAGTGCTTCTTAACTGTGATTCTGACAATAGTTATTAATTAAGGTCCTTGACAGCTATCAGTGCTTCTCAGAGGCCGGCAAACTGATAGAAATCAGTTCAACAGTAAAAGTGTCATGAAATATGCCGTGGGCCTGTTAGGGATGTGTCTCAGAAAACCTGCTATTAAAATTGAGGCCAAAACAAAATCTTAAAAGAAGCAGAGAACAACATAAATACAGAATTCAGCCCTCTTGTTGCTCTGAGTTAAAGACATCCGGTTACAGCTTTTAAGGGAAGGAGGATTGTGAAGCATTAAAGTCATTGAAACAGCCAAGGGTTGATTTACGAGGTACATCAGAGCAGTTAAAGTGGGCGAACAGACAATAAGTATTTACTTTTTTAAAGGTTGTGGAAAATAATTCCTCTCATGTCAAGAAACGTTTGTGCAGCTAAGAAAGCTCAAACAACACACAAGCCAAAAACAAATGAAAGAATACCAAACATAACTTCAACAGATCCACATCAGATAAAAGGAAATAAAACCTTCATGTCCTTTCTTTATGAAGGAAATTCAAACACTGTGCACTCAATTTTTATGCTCTGAAAAAATAGAAAAAGTAGGAATCGTATGGCAGTCTGTGAGAAAAATATTGGATACACATTGAGTCACGCAACAAAACAGAAAAAGTAGCCTCGAGTCAAAGTGATTCCCAAATACAGAGCGTCTTCTGTGGGCGACCAGGCTGCTTTGTCCGAAGAAAAGGGGATTTGCTAGAACTTCAGCAAATATGTCACTTCCCTCCAAAGTCTATTCCACTCTGACCGGCCTCAGCATCCACCAGTGAAGAGGCAAAAGCAGACTGGACTATCTGAAAGCCAAAAGACTCGAGAAGAGACATGTTTTGTTGCGGGGAGAAGGGAGAGGTGAGGGAGGGGGACAGCTCATTTAAGCCCGACCCTGAAACACCCTGGGCCTTCTGGGTTTTGTGAACTCTGTGCTGGTGCTTGTTGAGGTAGGACTTGGTGCGAAAGGCCTGACCGCAGATGCCACAGGTAAACTTCTTCTCGGGATCCGTCTTGGCTTTAGATCCCTCCGGGGAGCCCAAGGCCTCCGCAGAGGCTCCGTTGCAGGCTAAGGAGGGCATCTCGAGCTCCGGCCCGTCAGGTTTGTGTGGAGATTTAAGCTCGTCACCGTTGGGCAATTCCCCAAATGAAGGATCGGATTCTTCTGATTCCAGATGAGGACATTTCCCAGTGTTTTCCTGCCCGTCTGTGGTCAGCACAGCATGGATAGGAAGGAGGAGAGTGAGACAGAGAGAGAAATGGGAGAAAAGGTAGGCATGAATTAGGACAAATGGTTTGTAAAAGGTTTTGAATATTGCAACTTTAATCCAGTAGGTGGTTGGCACCTGCAAAAGCTTAAACATTTAACTTGAGTGAAAAGGCATCAAGTACAAGTAGAACAAATTGTGGCTCTACATTTTATAGACCAATCACTAAATATAGTAAAAGAAAACTGTTGCTACAGCATTAAACTATACAATCATCTATCTCAGTCCATGTGACCAGCGTCCACTGACAGTTCTGCTGCGCTCCTCCTACCAGTGGGCAGCGCTAGCACCATGCCCCCCACCCACCCACCCTCCCTCCTTCCCTCCCTCCTGCTGGACTGTACTGACCTGCAGCAGGCCCATGGACGGGGAAGCCCGGCACCCCGCCAGAGCGACAATCCCAGAAATATGGAGCCCCACCTGCCTTCCCCATGAGCAGCTCAGGCTGCAGGCCCAAGGCTGGAGGCCCAGGCTGGGGAAGAGCTGGGTGTCCAGAGAGCCCATGAAAGCGAACCTCTGCCTCAGACGAGGTGAGAAGCAGCTGGCGACTGGCGCACAGGTCTACACAACACCCGGCCAGGGAGAAAGGAAGGGGAGGGGGCAGACATAACAGGCCGGCGGAAACCATATGGAGAGAATTACCTTCATTTTATCACTAGCACTTGAAATGCTTCTTTTTAAACAAAGTGAACTAGACAGTTTTGCTAGTTTGAATGAATCCTTGTCGAGTGAATCCAATCACTAAAGCTGTCAACGATTCATTCATTCACTTTTTCCTCTTCACCCTTCCAGCAAAACACCAACTCCTTGAACAAGGTGACTTGTGACATAAATAATTATTGAAATTATTAGTTATCGACTAAAAACACAGATATTTGTGAAAATACACAGGAAGTGAATCCTCCACATTACTAAACAATCTACATTTATCACATAAAATGTCATCAATTGTCATTTCAGTGCAGACCTTTCTCACAGTGGATGTTTTGACATATTTAAAAACATAACACAACAACCGTAACAATGCCGGGACCCACTGTGCATACTGACACACCTGAATGAGAAAGTCATCGTTAATGTCATTAGTTGCACCTGTGTGTCCTGTTGTAACATGTCAGCATATCCCTGTGAGAAAAGCCCATACTGTGTATAACTAAATATAATGTTCACACATACAACTTGTTGTTCCCACAAATGAAATGACACCTAATGAAGATTATAGTGACAGTACACACTTCAGGACGTGGCCATTTCCAAGGATAAATCCCATTTTCAGCTTTAAAATGTATCTGATGGGTTTTATCACTCAATTAACCAAATCATTAAGACCAATGATTGCAAACTCCATTGCGTTTTCACTCAATTTGTACTATTCATTATTCAAATATTCACAGTCTTTAGCTTTAACTTTGGTATCTGCTTAGCTGATCTCTATTTGCTATGTGACAGTCGGTCAGCTGTCCACGGTGCTGAAAGAAAACACATTTATACTACTGCAACAAGATGTCTGCTCATTTAGTGACACTGATACCAGGAGAGAATCGGGGAGGATCACCAGAGAATGACTCCACAACCAATTACATAAGTCCACTATCGCTCTCATAGCTTCAACAATGCTATTTTGCTACTGAACCATCTTGGATAGAAGCAGAAAAAAAGACAATTCGTGCATAACAGCATAACCTGAGCAAGCAAACAAAACACGATGTTGCTACATGAAAAATACGCCGAATCTTTTGACACCTAATGCAGGAACATGTTGACCTGGTAGATCTGTGGGTCATTGCGTAGTGAGACATGTTGTTCTTGTCTCAAACCTGCTGGCGAACACAATGGCAGCCAACATTGATTTTAACATCCTGGATTCAAAGGAAACTGCTAACTCCTAATTAGCTTGTCACGTCTCAACTTGCTTTTCACCTGCTCGGCCAGAAGGTAAACTATTGATTGAATGATAATACCACTAGTAAAAAAAGAGGCTTGTACAGTTTCTCAAATTAACTCTAGCTCAAAAAACCGATAATGGCAAATACCAACATGTGTTAATGCACCCGCAACCACTTGCCTATCATGATGGAATCTAGAAGATGTTAAACAAGGTGACCATGATTGGTTTTAATGATTTACTTGGACGCTAATGGTTTCACCGTCTATCACTTCTAGAAGCAGAAGCAGCTCTCATGATAATCAATAACTTTTGATAGCCAACCTCAGTTTGGTAACTAGCCAAATAACATATTTTTCAAATGCGCTGCACTTATGCGCAATTCACATAATTAAATTGAAAGAAGTGCAATCAACGGATGTAAATATTGTCTTCCATAATGTTAAATGTGGCTCACAGTTCGCTGTGCACTGTCTCTATGCAACTGGTTCTACCATGTTTTCAATGAATCCTGGGCGAATGGAGCACACGTTAGGACACTCATGCAACACTGTGCATTGCTGAACAACTGCTGATGGACCAGCCAAGCAGAAACACCATACGATGCCATGGCCATGCTGGACAGACACACACACACACATAAAAAAAGTGACTTAGCACTCCAAAATCATACATGGTCATGTGTAAGAGAACTATGACGTCTAGACAACTTCTTCATATTCAATGACGTGTATGTGACGATAGGTAACTTAAAATGTGTTTGTATTACGTTCCCAAATGTCCCGCCTTATAAAGAGCCAAGTTTTGTATAATGTAGTGTTTTAGTACCAGAGGTGCACATAGTAGCAGGTGTCCTTACTCTTAAACTACAGAAAGGGCATGTTTTCACTTCTGTATGCGAGTAAAGGAGTTGTCTGCCCACTGACTTGCTTGTATTCTATAGTAAGAGATGCACTGCTCATAGATAGAGCAAATTAACAATTCTAACCTTTGACATGGAGTCAGTGAAACTTCTGAGAACACACTGGTATTTCCAGCAGTCCTCCAGCTCTTAATGTTCCAGTATGTTGAGCGACCCTAACCCTGACTACCTGCCTAATCATATAGAGAAAATATCCTTACAGGAAGTGTCAAATACTTCAAGCTGTGGTTCGGTGCACTCTGCCCCCTCTGGATGAAAGACATCGACAGTTAGCGAGCAGAAAGACAACCAGCACAAAATATTTGAGCGCAAAGATTGGCAGCAGATGTTGATGTGTGCTTGTGTTTTAAAAAACATACACAAATAATGCAGCAGCATGTTTCTCCAAATAGCAGCGGAGCAAATGAAAGCCAGAAACATGGGGCGGGGCGGGCGGCTGCTTGCCTTCCACTGAGCACTGGCGTCCCATGTGGTAAGGGGTGCCGTTGTGCATCTGCAGCTCCCCCCTTGGCTCAGGGAAGGTGTGCATTGTGGCAGAGGGGGGCAGTGGAGAGCCATGGTGTGTCTTTATATGCACCTTAAGGTAGGACGCAGTGGAGAAACCTGGGACCAGAAGAACAGAGAACAAGGCAGTTGTTTTGACACACCTCGAGGCCTCGACTATGAGGAGGGGCGCCCTGGCTATTTGCTGTCGACGATCTGTCAGATACCGCGATTGGTTTGACCCAGACAACTTTGAAACAATAATGATTTATTGAGGAGAAGTTGATTTAATATTTATCGCTTTGAATTTTATCTCTCAATAGTGAAGAGCGTCACTGTGATCACCCCAACCAAACCAAGAGTGATGCACATCGTAAAGAGATGTTCTTAAATGATCACAATACTTTCATTCTTGTTTCCCTCTCTGATTGTTTACAGATGCATCAGCAGGTACACATCTGGCTATATCGCTGACCAGCTATCTCACCTCCTCCACTGATCGATTTCTTTTTACCTCAGCTCTTCTCCACCATCTTCAATTTAATATATTTATTGATGCTTTTGATGGCTTTTTTTTATGCTTTACCCTCGAACCTACTTTATCCATTATTCTTTCAGTTGCAGCTTTATGCATTTCATGTTCCACTCTTATCTTGTGTGTACTTGTATTTGTAAATATAACACTGCTTTTATTGTCTTGCGTACAAAGTGCAAAACAGGATACACAATGTTTATTTGACCTCTCTGTATAGATAAAGGTTAAACTAACAAAAAAAACAAAAAACAGAGTGCAACCAAGACGACAGGAGGAGACCAAGGGTGTGAGGTGATTTTGGTGTCGTGGCCACAGCCAATGGTATTGGCCTCTAGTGCTCTACGAGCACAAAAAAAGAAGACGCCTAGGAAGCTTAAAAAACGTTTCCAGCATGTAGCACCCAGACTGAATGTACAAAGTAGGGGCCAAATTTCACACGTATTTTGGACATTCAGTAAGTGCATTTCATCTCGTCTACAGACAGATAATTATAAATATTTTGTGCAACTCAATCCAACCTATCCCTGAAAGACACAATTTTACAAACATTGCATTTGAGTGGCACCATCAATTTAGGGAGCGTACAACACACACACCCTGAACAAGACTTTGGCAAATGTCAGGGGTCTTTATGCTTCCTCATGTGGCAGAAAATAAATACACAGTGGAGGTGCCAACACAGACAAAAACAACAGCACACGTTGAGGTGTGACTTTCTCTCCCATGTTATGTCTTTCGTGCTAGGATGTACTTTATGTCCTATGTGCACTTGCACTTATTTGAATAGTTGACACATTGCACCAATAGATCACGCATCAACTCTTAGACAACTCTTGGTCAACCGGAGCTTTTTAGTTACGCTTTTACAGTCATGGCACGCTCATGACGGTCTACCTTCAGAGTGGGACAGGAGATCCCAAGTGTTTTGGACCGAGTACTAATTTTACATTACAAACAAACAAAGTAATTCAATGAAAATGTATTAATTGCAATAGCATGACCGTAACTCCAGACATTCTTTATTTCTCATGGAACACAACGCAGAGCCAGACAAACACCAAAACCGGATTACGGCAATTTGTTCTCCTCTGAATGTTCACGACTTCAGTACCAACTGAATATTTGTGTGGACACGAGGCGGAGGTGTTTCAGAGGAGCCTGTAACAGTGCGGTGCATGCTGATGTATTTTAAATAAGTACCTTTGTTGCAAATGCCACAGTAGTTGTGTGTCCCTTCACTGTGTTTCTTGAGGTGGTCCGTCATGTAGGCAGCTCGCAGAAACTTGCCACAAACTTTGCAGGGGATTTTGTCTTCATGGCATGCGAGGTGTGACCGGAGGCGATCTCTTGTCGCAAAAGAGGCATTACAAATCTGAAATACAGAAATAAACTTGTTAATTATTTTCTCACATATCATAGTTTAATATATTAACGCTGAGACTCGGAGATATATATATTGAATGTTACCTGGCACTTGTGGGGTCTCTCTGTTGTGTGAACCTGTTTGATATGTCCATTTAGGTGGTCTGGTCTAGAAAGACAAAAGGAAAAATTCATCTAAATTTCAACATATTTCCACACACCTAAAGACCAGTACACTTCTTGTCATCAAACATTTGGTGAAAAACTTCCACCCTCTCCCTCATCACATTTTGGGATTATTTTTTAGCAGTTAGCATGCAGGTACCTGTGACTTATTCATGTTTTATCTGCATGTCTTTTAACCTCCAGAGCAGTAGATGGTGACAGTGAGCCTGAGAAACTGCATTGAAGCCAAATGACAAGTCAACACTTCAGCAGTTTCCCCAACAACAGAAACCTGCAGGTGTGTGTATGAGAACACCTGTAGGTTTCTGTTGTTGGAGAGTGTGTCCGACACACACACACACACACACACACACTTTTGGGTTTGAACTATGCAATCTCTCTCTATCAATTAGTAGCAACTCAAAAGAAGGACTTCCTGTAGCATACATCACTTAATACCTGCGTCTCACGTGCAGGTATAGAGTTGCACCTGTGAGAATCAGTGTCCTGTGTGGTTTGAGGGCATTGGGGGACAGTCACAGTTGTTCTACAACTTCAAAACACACAACATACCGTCAGTGTGATAAAAAAAGTTAAACTCACCTTGAAAACCCTTTACCACAGCTTTGGCACACATACGGTTTGCCGACTGAGCCGTCGTGGGACCGCACATGGTACGACATCCTGTCCTTGCGTTTGAACCGCAGCCCGCACACATGGCACGCGTACGGCTTCTCTCCAGAATGGGAGAGCTTGTGTCGGTTCAGGTGGTAAACGTCGCGGAAAACTTTACCGCAAATGTCACAGCCGACGTGCCGCCTGGTCCTCTCCCGTTTGCGGCCGTTGTCCATCGTCAGCCCTCCGTGTAACTGCACGCCGTTCTCCACCAGACCAGACGGGGACATTAAAGAAATGCCCGCCGTTGACAGGCTGTCACCGACGTTGTTTACATCGCCGCTGTGGGCTCCGTGCTGCGCTTCGTGGTTCTTCAACCGGGAAGCCTCTGTGAAAGCCTTACCGCAAGTCCCGCAAGGAAACAGCACAATGTCTTTCTGTGTGCTGCTGTTTAACTGCACAGCCTCCACAACCCCGCCAGCTTTCTTTGGTCTCCCCCGGTTTCGTTTGGACCCCGGGGAGCCCGCGTCGTGCTGAAACGTGTTGCCCAGCATTTCCGTTGATGGGGACACGGACAGTCCTTCGACGGGCTCCAATATTGGCATCGACGATTCGCTGCCGCCCTCCAATAACACGACAGTGGTGTTTCCACTCCCATCTACATGCATCTGTGCATTGTTAGGGAAGCCTTGGCCGTTCACCAGCATTCCCGTTCCGTTCACGAGACCCTGCTGCGTGGCCACCGTGGCCTGGAAGAGGCTGGCATCTCCTCCGCGTGAAGTCGGGACGAGGATTTGAACGTTGGACTGCTTGATTACCTCCTGACAGATCTCTATGACCGACCGCATCAGCAGGAACTTGGCAGCTGTCATCAACTCGGGAAAGCACTCCAGTCGCACCACGATCCTGGAGGTGTAGGCGAAGTCCAGGACGTCTTTAAAAACTTTGGGGCTGATGGTGTGCATCTCCAGCTCCTTGGTGTCACCGTCGCCCTCCAGCTGGCGGCTGAAGACCGACTCGAAATACTCGCTGCACGCGGCTAACACAGCCTTGTGTGCGGGGAAGCTCTCCTCGCCGACGCGTAAGATCACATCGCAGAACCTGCCTCCATCTTTCCTCTGAATGTTGAGGTTGTGTAGCATCTCCGCACTGTGCTTGCTCACCTGATAGGTGTACGAAGAAGTCCAAGACGGCTCCGCTACCTTCTCCATGCCGAATGCATCCAATAACAATGGTTAGCGACGACGGTCGGAGAAATGACGGTTTTTCGGTGTAACGATTTCGATCAGTTGATACCAGCTAGCTACAAAAATCCAAAACCAACCGCCCCTCCCCGTCGCTTTAGCATCTACCGTTAACGTTAGCAGTAGCAGGGAAAAATGGCAGCCCCCCAGCTTCCTGTGAACTCTGACCCTGGTTTCTTGAGGGGTGGGGGTCGCTCTTGTTTGGTGAAAAATATTTCTCTCGGTGTTTATATTAACTCTGTATTTTTGTTTAATGAATATCTCATTGTAACGGTTATAGGAGTAACGTTAGAGCCCCAGCACCGCAGGGGTCTCTCACGTCTTCAAGCCGGAACGTTAACACGCAGGTCTCTTCCTGCCTGGTCGGTCTGTGAAACCCCTCCCCCAACACACCAACCACTAATAATGAAACACCCCCTTTCCTCTGTGCGAGTGCAGTCTGTACGCATGTAAAGCCTCATCATACTGTACGAGCCACCGGGGGTAAGCTACAAGAACAAAGGTGTCCGTCAAATGCAACGTCTGGCATGAGTAGACGCCGGTGTTATTGTAAACGTTAACTTCTAGTATCTGTAGAAAGTATTAAACAGTAGATTATCAATTTGGAGATTGTGGATGAGCGTTTGGCATTTTTTAACAGGATCTTAAATGATCAATTTCATTTTATAATCCGTTTCAAAATAATTATACTTGAAAACATTGAGATTCCAATAAATGTGTCCACAAGGGGGCACTTTTGACACTCAAATACAATCTTTAATACAATTCATTCCACCACTATCCGCCGGAAAATAACCACAAATCGGCATTACTGTAGCCCACTGCATTGGAGTAGAGCCTTATCCATATTTCAAGGTAGATACCAATTAAAAACAAAAAAGCTTCCATAATGCCATAGCTTTAGGTTTTCTTAAATGTGATTGTGAAAGAATGACCAAGAAGTTGTAAATAGATAATTGTCCAGTAAGACCTCAACATATTTGACCTTTCTGCACCTACATGTCTTGTCAAATATTGGCCCACATACTCAATGCTGTGATATCTGCAACAAGCCCATCGGCCTGGCAAATTAAATCAGCCTAGCTCTCTACATTGGACTGTAGACTTGAACCAAATCAGCAGGTAACTCTTAAATCTCAAGTAGCACAACCATAGTTACCGAGTATCCTTACATACTGTATGCAATAAGTGGTTTTACTGTTTACTAATATTTTGGATGAGATTAGAAAGAACCTGCATGACAACTTCCAGCATTTCTCACTTGCTCAGTGTTTGAGTTCAGACAGACTTTACTGAAGGTACACCTGTACAGCCTCTAATGCAATCCAAGACTGCAGCTGTGCTATAAATTCAACTTTTTAATATCAAGATCGTTGCTCTATATAGTTTTGTTGAGCACTTTCATTTTGAAGCAAAACGGGACTACAAACTGTATTTCAACAATAAATGAACCTTGTAGCCTGGATTTTGCTTTTGTACTAGACAAATTAGAATTGAAACGTGTTTCTCATGCATCTATACACCGAATACAGTCCAGTCTAACAGGAGATGAATCAACACATTTCTAACTGCGTAAATAACCATACATTTCGCAAAGGCAGAATTTATGGCAGAGCCATTTGTATTTGATTGTGTAACTAATGAGGTGGCCATTGACTGTGTACATATTCATTATAGGAAATACAAAACTATTTAAAACAATTAAGCAACTTGTGTTTTATGGACTTTTATTTATTAATTCTATTTGTGCTTTTTATAACTTAATAGCACATAAACAAACTGAATCCCAACCACCCTCAAAAATTGACAATGTGAGCAATGTGAGCAGTGCTGCCCCCCCCACCCCCCAGTGACAGGTTGGATAGGAGGATACACTAAGGAAGAAAAAAAAAAAACAAAAAAAAAAAAAAAACACAAAGAAAGGCACAACCAGCGCTGGCTGCATCCCCCGGAGTTGTCTTGAAATGTTCCAGCCAATCACATCTACAGAAAAGGGTCACTACACCCATGCCACAAAAAGCGTACGAGTACACACTGAAGTTACTCAACAATTCAATATTTCTCACCAGCAGCAGCCCTTTCTTAGAGCAGTTCTGCAAGGGAAATTAAATTTGGACAAGACAAAGGAATGCTACCAGCTCGTGGGGACTTTGTCTTGCAGTTTTCAGTTGAACTGCAGGATCGTTTCACCTTCCCCATTCCAAGAAAAAGAAAAAATAGCTATATACAGGGAGAATACAATTCTTTCCCATGGTCTGTACAATTGGGCCTATACATTATTTACTGCGCAGAGCCTAATACAAAAAAAAAATAATAATTCACTCAGTCACAAAACATATTGCCATCATTCGTCTTCCCTTTTCTGCTGAGAAGCCTCTTCAAAAAACAGTGACTTCAAGGTTGAAGACAAAGCATGGCAAGGTTAGACTGTCCAGGTCTGTGCACCGTCTTTCAAATTAAAGTTCACATTTGTGTGGTAACGAGGAGGTGGAGATGGGCAAAAAGGAAAAAAAATATCTTGCTTCCAGCAGTGTTTTTTCATTTTCTTATGGCCGAAACTCCAATTCATCGACACTTATGACCTTGGCCGGCATGGAGGGTAATGGCTGTTCTAGCACGTCCGATCCAAACCACTTGGCGAGACCTGGAGGGTTGGGGCCCCCGTGTTGCTGGGAGCCATTTGTCCGGTGAGGGCTATGGCTCTGTGAGACACCTTGATGCACTGATGAGACAAAAGGACAGTTTAATCAAGAGCTCAGGAACAACTTTGTTGTTCCATGTACCTTACTTATTTCTGCCCTCATTGATCCTACATAAACTTAAACAGGAAATCCTTTTATTTTAGGTTATTCTTTGTGGCAGTAATCAGTAATCAACACCTTTGAGAGGATGCAATGCTTTCACTAGCACATGCCGAGTCATAATATTTGACTTCCACTCACTTGGTCTCTGTTGCTGAAGTTGCTGCTGCATTACTGCTAACTGCATTTGAGTATTTGCTCTAGGAGGTAGAAGTGGATGCCCTGTTGCACTTAGAGGGTACAGCTGCTGTCCAAGCAGGGCAGGAGGCAAGCCTTGAAGTTGGGCAAGGTCGACGTGTGTTGGAAATATACCTGGTGGGCACAAGTAAGACTTCCAGAGGTTATCACGGTCAAAGTTTTAACATCAGGTCAATTCACAGTAAATAAAAGTTATAAAAAGTTGAGAAAGTGAGGGTAAAACAAACAAACCACCACTAACCTGCCTGCACAAGAGCAGGGCCTAGTTGCTGGGGCTGGATACCCTGCGCCAGCATTCGTTGAACCACATTAGGGTGGAGCTGGGGAGGAGGGCGCACCATAGGGACATGTGATAGCAGCGGTACGGGATAGATGGGACGAGGGAAAGAGGAGGGTCCTGGAGGTGCCATGGTGGGCATATGGTGTCCAGCAGAGCCAGGCCTGAGACGCTCATGGTTCTGGCTTGGCAAGGTCTGTGAACCAGCCTTTAGTCCTCCGGACTGGGCAGCACTACCATCCATCACCTCCAGGTATAGATTTGGGGAGCTGCTGTCTGTAATCGCATAACCCAAATCGCAATGTTACAGTGTTGAAAACACACGTACTGATCCTCAAATCAGGAAGTTGTGGGTAAAGTAACACTCTGTACCATCTCGAGTGTGTCCTGCTGCCTCTTCCTTCATCTCTGACCGACTTGATTGTTCATCTCTGCTTTTCTCTTTTGTTGCATACATTTTGCGGATCACAGATGTAGGTGTAAACGACGGTGACAACTGTAGTTAACAAAAGGAAAGGAAAAAAAAAAAAAAAAAAAGTATACCAGCAATACCAAAAAGTGTTTAGAGATTACAGACAAAAGTGCAACTTGACAGGACAAGTGTGAACAATGACAGCTGGGCAGATAAAGTTCTTGCTCACCATGCTGGTGACAGCGTTGCCTGGAGAGTGTCTTTCAGCAGCCTGAGGGCCTGGACCAGGGGAGCAATTAACACGCTGCAGTCTGTGGATCACAAGCACATCAGCCGGACGCAACTAGAACATGCTAAATAATCCTCGCTACCGGGTTCAGGCGCATACATTCACAACACCGATGTATGCCAATACATGGAAAAATATGTTCCATGATTGTTCAGAGATTTACATTTACTCTAAATATATTTATATAGAGCAGAACGACCAAAGTAAAGTTGTAAGCAGTGCCTCTAACATGTATTACACTAAGCTGTCATTTTCCAGTTGCTAAAATGAACAAGCCAGACACGTAGCTCAAGTTAAATGTGTTCTTGATACATTGAGACAACATTCAATTCATTATTTCACCATGATAAGATACTGTGAAGTATCCAAATACCTTTTTAAAAAACTAACCTATTTCGAAAGGATTTGTCCGGTGGCGGCTTGTAGCCAGACTGGAATGAGTGATGGCCATGTAGAGCAAGGTCTTGTTGAAATGCCAGAGCTTCCAGGTCTGCATGACTCACAGGCATCGAGAGCAACCTCATCTGGTCAAACAAAATACACACTTAAATACATATACCATATAATAAAGCCAGTCGTTGTGACTCATCGGTTTCACTGAAAATGTACAATATTGTAAACCAAGCCATTATGTGCATTTTATAAAATAAAATAAGGTTAGTCTTCTATTAAATATCAGTTTACATAAAGAATTGCTCGTGTGTAAAATATCTTTTCAGTCATCAAACAATAAAGCTATTATTTAGGTTACCTGTTGCTGTGCAGCAGATCCAGGGCTGATAGACCTGTGAACATCAAACTGTTCTGGCAGCATGGGCTGATGACTAACAGGAAAACCTTGAGCAAAGAGGGAGAAACAACCTTTATATGATCCAGCTCCACAAACACCGTCGACTTATAAATACATTTAAACTGAAGATATTGGCTGCTGAAATGACTACAGCGCTCTTTAACTGCAGTCAGATACCCGTAAACTGGCTTGACATTTGGTCATGCTGAAAACTACAAAACATTTTTAAAATTCATTTTTTGTTCAATGTTGAGCTTTCACTACGTTTTTAGCTCCTGTGGAACATGGCCTCTGAGATTCCTTCCACTCCTACATTCCTGTTGTACATCTCACAGACCGGGTGAACGGCATATGAACAAAGCTGTAATAACCTTTGGGTTGCATCAGCATTAATACATTGTTAGAGGCAGCAATGAGGAAACATTTCATGAAAAGGAAACATTTGGGATCCCACTAGAGTCCAAATCCTTGGGTCATTTCATGAACTGTGAGTAAAGCCTATTGATGGAGAGAAAGTCGATGCATACAGTACGCGTTCTTTTACATTCCAAGGTAAGGTTTACACGTCTTTGCT